GGTTTTCTAGTGGGTTTTTATTGGAGAAAAGAGTCTCATGGACTTTCCTGCCCAGGCTGGCTTTGAACCGTGATCCTCAGATCTCAGCCTCCTGAGTAGCTAGGATGACAGGCGTGAGCCACCGGTGCCCGGCTCATGATCTCCTTTTTGCTCAAGGTTAATGCTCTACCAGTTGAGCTACAGCTCCCTTTTGCCTTTTTCTCTGGTAGTTCATTGGAGATAAGAGTCTTATGGACTTTCTTGCTTGGGTTGGCTTCAAACCATGATCTGCAGATCTTAGTCTCCTGAGTAGCTAGGGTTATAGGTGTAAGCTACCAGTGCCTGGCAGGAGAGGGTTTTTAAAAAAAATATTTTGTTATTACCTCAATTCCATTGCTTGTTATTGGTCCATTAAGATTAAAAAAAATCTTTCTAGGTCAATTTTGGTAGATGATATGTGTCTAGAAATCCACCCATTCTAGAATTTCCAATTTATTTGGAATATACCTTTTCAAAATACTCGCTCATGATCATCTGGATTTCACTAGTATCTGAGAAGAAAAGGGAACTTCTCCACACCAATGTGCTAAGTAGGCTGTCTGGTTAGACTGCAGTTCTGCTTGGTACTGAGACCAGGGTTCATTATGTTTTCTGAGTCTCTTGTTCTCTCTTCAGTCTCTGCCTTCTGCAGGTATGCTTACTTCTTACTTTTCCTCTCTGTTAGTATTAGTTTTGCCCCCCCCCTTTTCACTGCGGGTCCTGGGCCTTGAAGTCTGGGCCTGGGCGCTGTCCCTGAGCTCCCTTTGCTCAAGGCTAGCACTCTACCACTTGAGCCACAGCACCACTTCTGGCTTTTTTTTCTGTGGTTAATTGAAGAGTCTCAAGGATTTTCCTACCTGAACTGACTTCAAACTGCCATCCTCAGATCTCAGCTCCTGAGTAGCTAGGATTATGGCCAGGCTGGGCTCATGGTCCACCTGCCTGAAAATTCTGTTATTCTTATAAGATTATCCGTTCACAACTGAAACTTCAGTACTTTCCTGCTGTCACCCACTTGCAGGTGAACTGCCACCAGCTCTTGCGCCCTGTCCGCTGGAGATGCCAGTGACCGTAGCTGCCTTTAGTCTGCTGTCTTCTGGCCACTTTCACCTGGGATCTTCATATATTTTATTTTATTTAATTTTTTGGGTCCAGTTGTGGGGCCTGAACTCTGGACCTGGGCACTGTCCCTCAGCTCTTCAGCTCAAGGCTAGCGCTCTACCACTTGAGTCACAGCGCCACTTCTGGCTTTTTTTCTTCATATATTTTTAACTCACAGGTTCTTATTATAGCACACTTTTCTTTCTACTCTCTCCCTCCCCCGCCCCCCAATTGTCAGTACTTGTGTTTGAACCCAGGGCTTACACTTGCTAAGGTCTACTACTTGAACTGTAACCCAGTCATGCTTTTTGTTGGTTATTTTGGAGAGGGCGTCTAGAGGGCTTGTCTGCAGAGGTTAGCCTTGAAATGCCCTCCTCTGAGCTCAGCCTCCCAAGTGAGCTACCTGAACCCATCATACATCACATTTCTTTTTTTAAAATTTAAATTTTATTGTAAAGGTGACATACAGAGGGATCACAGCTATGTGAGTCAGGTAATGAGTACATTTCTTGTCCAACGGTGTCATTCCCTCCCTCATTTTCTCTCAGTTTTTCCCCTTCCAACTCCCCTCCCCACCAATTTGTATAGTTCATTTCCAACATAGTGTCTAGTGAGTATCACTGCGGCATTGGTCCCCCTTGATTCCCCTTCCACTCCCCAAATCAGACAAACTTATACAAGCGAAGGTACAGACACCTCAGACTATGACAAAGGGAATAAACCAAAGGACATAAAGAAAAATAACTGAAAACAGTACAATAAAAAAAATCTCTTGTTGGAGGGGCTGGGAAGGTGGCTCAGTGGTAGAATGCTTGCCTTGCATGCATGAGGCCCTGGGTTCGATTCCTCAGCACCACATAAGCAAATAGAAAAAAGCCGGAAGTGGCGTTGTGGCTCAGTGGTAGAGCGCTAGCCTTGAGCTGAAGAGCTGAGGGACAGTGCCCAGACCCAGAGTTCAGGCCCCACAACTGAACCCCCCCCCAAAAAAAGAGAAAAATCTCTTGTTGGAGTTAATTTCTATAAACATTATTTTATACGGTCATATGCACATAGCCATTGAGCTGTTGTAATCCTTTCCTAAGAATTTTCTCCTTGATTCTCATTGTGTAAATGTTTAGAGTGCTATTTAATTATTTCCAAGTGCAATTATTTGTCTTTTACTATCCATTGGATTATCTTGTAGATTTATAGACACATTCTAGTTATTACAAATGAGAGAAACCATGTAGCCTATGTTCTTTAGGTCTGGCTTACTTTTTCCTAAGTCTTTCCATTTCCTTATGAATGGAGCAATGTCATTCTTTCTGAAGGAAGCATAGAACTCCATTGTATGTGTGTGTGTGTGTGTGTGTATGTGTACATTTTCTTGCTCCATCCACTGAGGATGGCTTGATTCCATATCTTAGCTATGGTACACAATACTGCAATGAACATGGTTGTGCTGGTGGCTTTAGTGCAGCCTGGTTTGTAGTCATTTGGATAAATGTCCAAGGGTGGGAGTTCTGGGTCACAGGGAAGCTCTTGGAAAAAATTATAGTAAGCAAAGTAAGCCAGACTCAGAGATGATGAAGGTTAACTGCACCAAGAAGACAAAATAATTCAAAATTTGTATGCACTTTGATTTAACCTTAAAATGTGCAAAGCAAAATAGTAAGAGAGGATTTTATAGCACAGTGACACAGACTAAACAAATATACTCTGGGTGGTTGTCATGATAGGAATGAGTCTGGAGTGTGAAACAGCCGTGAAGTTACGGGAGAGAACCTTGCACTGATGAACGGCAATGTGCAGGTAAGGAAGCACTTGATTAACTAAGTTAACTCAGTTGCTGCCTCATCTCCAGAAAGAAGGAAAAAGCAGAAAGCCCAGACATGGGCATGCTGTCTATTGATTAGATCTCTCCAGCTCTCAGTAAGAGCCATTCGTATTTCTGGGAAAGGCAGACCTCTGGGTTTGTGCATTCAGCACTTGCTGGAACCCTTCCACCTGTCCTGGAGACCCCTCCAATGAGCTGGTCGAGGGCTTCAGGGTCTCCATGTAGCCTGTCTATGCTGGCTGGCAGAGGGAGCATGTGTAGTTGGGGCAGGGACTGGCAGACTTCATGTGGCTGGGGGAGTGACCCTGGGGAGGAACTTTCTTGGAGGTCTACACTGAACTTTCCAGGCCAGGACATCTGGTGTCCAGGTGGGGAGCTGCTCCTAGTTGGGTGCTAAGTCTCCTGGCAGAAGAGACCACAAGAGCTAGGAGCTTCCCTCTGCTCGTGGCTGACCTCACTCCTCGGGGAAGACCTGGGTCTCTTGGTCTGAGCCCCTCTTTGCCCTTGGATGCCTTAGCTCGGAGCAGGGCTGGGCAGGGAAGGAACTGCGGCTTCCATTCTGTGTGCAGAGCACCTAGACCGGCTGGCTCTGGCCCTCAGGAGCATCCAGTGCTTCGGACAAGCTTGGACAGTGCCTCACGGATGTCGCGGTTCCTCAGGCAATAGATGATAGGGTTGAGCAGGGGGGTCACAACGGAGTAGACCACGGACACCAGCTTGTTGAGGTCAAAGGAGCTGATGGCGTGAGGCCGTGCGTACATGAAGGTGGTGGTGGTGTAGAAGATGAGGACTACCACCAGATGAGAGGCACAGGTGGAGAAGGCCTTCCGGCGGCCGGCCCCTCCCGGAATCCTCAGCACCGTGGCCAGGATGCGCGTGTAGGAGACAGCTGTCACCAGCAGGGAGGTGGCTAGCACTGCCAGGGCTGCCACGAAGTCCAGCATCTCGACGGCAGTGGTGTCTGAGCAGGAGAGCTGCAGCAGGGGTGACACGTCACAGAAGAAGTGATTGAGGACATTGGGGCCACAGAACTTCAGTCGGGAGATGAGAGCTATGGACACAAAGGAGGCCAGGAAGCCGCCAAGCCAGGCACTGAGGGCCAGCAGAAGGCAGAGCCTCGAGTCCATGATGGCCTGGTAGTGCAGTGGGCGGCAGATGGCGAGGTACCGGTCACAGGCCATGGTGGCCAGGAGGAAGCACTCCGAGGAGCCGAGGGAGAGGAAGAGGAACAGCTGGGTGAGGCAGCCTGAGAGGGATATGGTCCGCACCCCTGCCAGGAGCCCGGCCAGCAGCCGGGGAACCGTGACGGTGGTGTAGAAGGTCTCCAGCACCGACAGGTTGGCCAGGAAGAAGTACATGGGTGTGTGCAGCCGACGGCTGGCCCCGACAGCACCCACGACGACCAGGTTCTCCAGGACAGTCATGGCGTAGACGGCGAGGAACAATCCAGACAGCAGCCCTTGCAGGTGGCACAGCTCTGGGAAGTCCAGGAGGATGAATTCAGTCACCGAGGTATCGCCGGAGTGGTTCACGGCCAGTTTTGGCCAGGGAGGCCACTTCTGAGCAGCCTGGGAGGTGAGAAGAGGTGCGGCATGTGACTGGGTCCGGCCCAGCTCCCTGGGGCTGTCCCTGTCCCAGAGGTCTCCCCCCCACCCCATGGCTCCCAGGGCTGTCCAGGCTCACCGCAGGGAGGGGACAGCAGTGCCCCAGGGCTGTCCAGGCTCACCGCAGGGAGGGGACGGCAGTGCTCCCAGTGCCCTGCTGACTTGCATACTGCCCAGAGCTAAGCCCGCCCAGGGGCTCAGCGTCTGAACACACCAGCGCAAGCAGACACAGCCCTCTGGGCACACAGTCACCTCTCCGTCAGACGCACAACCCTTACTGCCCCAACACACAGGTCCCCCCAGGCAACACACATTGAGACAGAGATGTACCCAGATGCGCACAGGTATACTGCAGGTGCACACACAGAGCTCCAGATCAACCGTGCTTCTGGGTGTGCTTCCCAGGTGTGGTGAACCCTGATCATCTGCCTCCATCTCTGCTTTGTAATTAGAACAGTCTTCTGCATCAGGGAGGTCAGGGCAAGAGACTTCTACCAACCACTGGGCCACTACAGAGCAAGGGAAGGGGCTTAGCCAGGCCTGTCTCCAGCACAACACAGCCTCCAGCTGGAGGTTCGGAAGCAGCAGAGGGGCCATGGGAGAATGGGTGGATGGCATCTACTGGAGCCACAGGTGGGCTATGTAGCTTGGGAATTTGGGGATTTTGTGCCAGGACACACCTGCACCTGGGAGTTTGAGGACAGCCCGGCAGAGTGTGCGGGGCACCCTGAGTGCGGGACAGAGGCCGAGGGAGGGTCCCCCACAGCCTGTCCCACCTCCCCAGCCCCCCCAGTCCATCCAGCCTCCCCAGCCCCTCACAGCCCGTCCAGCCTCCCCCCTTCCTCCCATAGCCCGTCCTGCCTCCCCAGCCCCCCCACAGCCCATCCCACCTCCCCCCTTCGCCCCCACAGCCCGCCCCACCTCCCCGGCCCCTCTCCCAGCCCCTGTTCACACTACAGCTCTGGACCCTACAAGCAGGGGAGGTCTGCATGCCCACCATTCTCTGCCATGCTCCTCAGGGTTGAACCCCTCCTCCCTCCGGCTGCTTTGAATCTCGGAGATGGTATGACTCCCAGACAGCGCCCGCCAGCTTAGCAGCACAGGGGCTTCAGGGAGAGCTCGGGGCTGCGCCGGGGCTGCCAGCAGGCTCAGAGCTGGTCTCATCCCTCTGTGGTGGGCAGGAGCTCAGCTGGTCCTAGCTCAGGACAGGAGCTGGGAGACAGTCCGCAGACCCCTTCCGGAGCCCAGGGATGTGCAGCAGGGCAGCAACGCCTCAGAAGAGGCTCAGCCTGCGGGGCCGCGGGCTTGGGTGGGAGGCGAGGGCTCAGGGCCAGACAGCGCATGCTCCAGCCAGTCTGAGTCTGGCCCGTCTGTGGGCTGGGATGGGGTCAGGGACACCGGTGCTTCAGGGCTGTGGAGCCCCAGGCCCAGGGACCTGCAGGGTGGGCTGGCCAGCCAGGCATGCAGAGTGGTGGGGGTCTGGAAAGACACTGTTCTCAAGGCCTTGCTCCAGCCTCTGGGCAGAGGGCAGCCCCCCCAGAGGAGGGCTCCGCTGATCTCTGAGTCTCTGAGCGGCTGTGAAGGAGGTGCTCTGTGTGGTGCCAGGCCTGCCCGAGGCGCTCTGCGTGGTGCCAGGCCTGTCCGAGGCGCTCTGCGTGGTGCCAGGCCTGCCTGGCCTCGCTGGTGTTTATCCCTCTCTTTCTGTGACCTGCCCGCCCCTGTTGTCTGCACCCTAGTCTGCAGACTAATTGCTCTCAGGACAATTTGTGGGGGCTCCTGGGGGAGCCCGTGGGTCTGGGGGGAATTGTGGGAGGACGCCCCGCTTCTCTGAAGGCAGGAGGACTCTCTGGGCCCCGACGGTGCCCCACATGGGGATAGTCCGCAGCCCGCACCCACTCAGGGCCCACGCCTGGGATTCTCCTGTTGCAGAGAACAGAGCATGGCCAGTTTTGGTTGCATTTGGACTTTATGACGCAGGGTCCCCGTCACGTCCTATATTGCTTCCCAGGTCTTGCTGCTTATGGCACTAAGATACTTACTCTTCTGGGCAGCTGCCTCTTTCTGTACCTAAGAATGACCCTAAGGAGTGGCCACCAAACAGCTGGATTGTTCCGCTGGTGCTGTGGTGGTTAGCGTCTCAGCATCTCAGTGCGGTTTCAGCTGCATGGCGGAACGTTGTCCTGAATCCATACTTGGGAGAGGAGATGCTGGGGTTGAGCTCGGTGTGAACGTTAAAGGAAAATGCCAGACTCCTTCCCCGAAGTGGCCAAAGTAAGGTCACATCTTTGCCCTTTCTAGCAGGTGATGCGGCAAATTCTTAACCTTTGCTGAATTTGTGTGTGGGGAGGAAATTTGAGCATCTCATTGTAGTGATTTCTGTGTTCCTGCCTCTCTTGCTGCGTGGGATCTGCCTGTTTTGTGCTTGTCTTTGCTACTTTCTCCCAAATACTGTAATTTTCACGGATCAATTTTAGTTCATGCCTGTAATCTTAGTTACTCAGGAGGTTGAGATCTGAGGATCAAGTTGGAAGACAGCCTGACAGAAAAGTCCGTGTGAGACTCTTTTTTTTGTTTTTGTTTTTGGTTGATCATGGGGCCTAAACTCTGGGCCTGGTCACTATCCCTCAGCTCTTTGGCTCAAGGCGAACACTCTACCACTGAGCCACTTTCCCAGCCCGCTCCCTCCCCTGTGAGACTCTTATCTTCAATTAACCACTCAAAAAACTGGAAGTGGGCCGGGTGCCAGTGGCTCATGCCTGTAATCCTAGCTACTCAAGAGGCTGAGATCTAAGGATCATGGTTCAAAGCCAGTCCAGGCAGGAAAAGTCTGTGAGACTCCTATCTCCAATAAACTACTAGAAAACCGGACGTGGTGCTGTGGCTCAAGTGGTAGAGTGCTCACCTTGAACTGAAGAGTTGAGGGACAGCGCCCAGGCCCAGAGTTCTAGCCCTATGACCGACAAAAACAACAACAACAACAACAAACCTGGAAGTGGCGCTGTGGCTCAAAGTGGTAGAGTGCTAGCCTTGAGCAAAATGAGCTCAGAGATATTGCCCACACCCTGAGTTCAGGCCCAATGACCAACAATAAATAAAAAATAAAAATATAATTTTCTAAACCCTTCTTGGAGATATACTTTCCTAGTGGCTTGCACGTATCCTGAGTTGTGACCAGCGTGCTCCTCGAGACAGAGCTTCCTCCATGTAAGATGTGACCAGCGTGCTCCTCGAGACACAGCTTCCTCCATGTAAGATTTGACCAGCGTGCTCCTCGAGACACGGCTTCCTCCATGTAAGATGTGGCCAGCGTGTTCCTCAAGACACGGCTTCCTCCATGTAAGATGTGGCCAGCGTGCTCCTCGAGACACGGCTTCCTCCATGTAAGATGTGGCCAGCGTGCTCATCCAGACACAGCTTCCTCCATGTAAGATTTCACCAGTGTGCTCCTCAAGACACGGCTTCCTCCATGTAAGATGTGGCCAGCTGCTCATCCAGACACACCTTCCTCCATGTAAGTTGTGACCAGCGTGCTTCTCGAGACACGGCTTCCTCCATGTAAGATGGCACATATCCTGTGTGTGTGTCATGCTCTCTTCCTGGCAGCCTGGCTCTCCACTCCCAGCTTCCAGCACCTTGGCTGTGATTCTGTCATGGAGCTTAGTTTTGTTTGCTCTGGCACTCACTGTTTTGTTTCTGTCTCTGACTTCTGATCAGCGTCGTTTTGAGACACACCCAGGTCAGGACTCTGCCTGTGCTCACATTGGGTTTTCTCTGGAAAGCCCGTCTCCCCTTCATTTACTTACAAGGATCCGAGCTGCCTCGACTCTCTGGCTTTTGGCTCCATCTCAAATCATGGCTCTGCCCTGGGTGTGACCAGAATCGCAGGCGGCCAGCCAGGATGGCTGTGGGCTTGCCTGCGCATTGCCGGGTTGGCATGGCTGTCCCTCACTCCTGATGACTAGTCTGGAAAGTCACTCTTCATTTATCAGTTATTTCTCTTCTGGCCAGCAAATCCTGCTACTTAAGGGACCAGCCTTGACAGAAAATGCGAAGGGACAGCGCCCAAGTCTGAGTTCAAACCCCAGTACCCGCACAAAAAAATAAAATTAAAAAATGAAGGTGGGGATGTAGATTAGTATAACTGTTATGGAAACCAGTATGGAGACCCATCCAAAAAAAGTAGAAAAATGTACCCCAGAAACATCGGTTCTGGACATAAATGGAGTTAGAGCTGTGAGGTGACATCTCTCCAGCCCTCTGGACATAAATGGAGTTAGAACTGTGAGGTGACATCTCTCCAGCCCTCTGGACATAAATGGAGTTAGACCTGTGAGGTGACATCTCTCCAGCCCTCTGGACATAAATGGAGTTAGAGCTGTGAGGTGACATCTCTCCAGCCCTGTGCTCATTGCAGCCGTATCCACTTTAGCCGTAGACGAACAACTGAAATGTCCTTTGATAGGTGAGTGGGTAAGGGTTTGATGATAGATTTGCATAGTTTATAACATCCAAGAGAAGAGGCTTGCTTTGGCTTCTGCTCCTGGATACTCTAGTCTAAGACAAGCAGTTCCTTACTGGTGTGGCGCGGTGGGAGTGTGAGCGTCTACACCATGCCCGAACAGATGCAGCTGATGTGATGTTGTTGTTGATGAGGACGGTGGTGAGAGAGTTCAGCGGCATTAAAGGCCAAATCCTGTCACCTGCATTTCCACTTATATATGGAATAACATAAGCAAGACACAGAGAAAACTTTAGGATCCCACATAGTGAAATTCATAGAGGCAGAGAGTAACATAGTGGTGGTCATGATGTTGGTTAAAGTGTGCAAAGTTACAGTTATGCAAGGTGAATAACTTCAGTAGGACAACAATTAGCAGCATTATAGTTATTCTTTTTTTTATTGTGAACATACTGTACAGAGGGGTTACAATTACATGGACAGGATAATGCATACATTTCTTATCAAGCATTGTAGCCTCCTCCTTTGTTTACCCTTCCCATCCCTTCCCAGCCTCCCCCGCCCCCAGCATTATAGTTATTCTTGTAACTTGCTTAAAGATCACAAGCTGAAGCTCAGCAAACACTGCATGTGGAGGCAATGGCTGTGCTAAGTGGTCTGTTTATTGTGATTGAGGTAGGAGTGATAGATGAGGTGACAGAAATGGAAAACAGTAACTATTAAAAGGGTCAGATTAAAAAATAAGAGCCAAGAAATAAGTCTGAAAAATTATTAGAATAGCAAGAAATTTAATCAAGTACTCAAGAGCGTACAAACTCACGCTTTCCCTCTCTCCACACCCTCTCTTTTAGACGTTAGAATACCCTTATGTCATCTTGGGTCTAAGGCCTGATTTCTATTTGCATTTGTGAGTGTGAGTAAGAAGATAAACAAGAAGAAGATACACAAGTCATTATGATCTCTGGATGGAAGGCTATCCCAGCCCTTTGTCTCCAGGCCTGAGCGATAAAGTCAAAACTGGGCAACAGAGGCATTGCCAGTAACCACACGTGCACTGAAGGTCCAGGTCTAGCAGTAACCACACGTGCACTGAAGGTCCAGGTCTAGCAGTAACCACACGTGCACTGAAGGT